GTGAGCATCGGCTCTTAGTGTGCTCAGTCTGTTCTAATTCAGTGGGTGAAATTGCCCAGCTTCTGGGTTGAGGCTGATGTTGGCTCTGACAGACCCCCAGCAGCAGCAGAACTGAGCCTTACAGATGTTGGTGTTGAAGTCCAAGTACCTGCAGTGGTCTGTGAGCCTCAGCCTGGGAACTGCTGGTCCAGGTTAAGTGCATGAATCCTCTGAGAACCAGAAGGTGTTAACTCTTATCCCTCTGCCTTTGGCAATGATTCCTGCTGGGTTCCTTGGCTTCACACAAGCCTTGCCTTCAGGCACTGAAGTTGTGGCTTTAAGTTGAGGCAGTGGAACACTGACATTTGCTCTCAGACTGCTGGGTTTGCAGTGATGAAGGTGCTGTTTGTCCTGCTGATCACATGTGGTTTTGTCACAGGGAAGTACGATAACTCAGTGGATGTTTATGCGTTTGGCATTCTGTTCTGGTACATCTGTTCGGGACATGTGAAGTTACCAGAGGCTTTCGAGAGATGTGCAAGCAAAGATCACCTTTGGAACAACGTTAGAAGAGGTATAAATGGCTTATTTGAACTCTCTTGGTTGATACTTTGATGCTTGAGTATAATTGGAGGAGAGGAGAAAATCCATTCTTAGCCCTTGTAACCAAAAGGTAGAAATACAAGTTCTGTTGCTGTACTGGCAGTCTAAAGAGTTAAACTTGGAGATACTCTCAAAGTCTAACTAAAACCAACAGGGATAAAACAGGCTTTCAGTTAACCACCTCTTTGCCATAGTGTTGTAGAACTCTGCCAGCACACTGCTTGACCCATGTGAATAGTACACCACTTCGGAAGTAAACCAGGCCCCAGAACCAGCCAGGCATGATCCCCTAAGGAATGTTTAATCCCCTGCAGTTTCTAGAGGCTGTGGTGATTTGTACATTGTAGTGTGCAGCATGCTGAGGAAGCTGAATGTCGAGTCAAACACAGAGTTGTTCCCCAGAATATGAACTTACTCTCATGCTTGTGTAGGTGCAGTGTATGTTTTATGGTAGCTTAATCCTTTGTGCTTGCCTCATGGTGTTGGAATGTTTCACTTCTTTGTCTCCTTAGTTCCTGTCCATGTAAACTCTCCCCTTCTCATGTGAAAAAGATTTAACTCAGATGACGGAGTCTTGTATTTATTTGGTCAAGAGGCTGCACTCAGTGCTTGTTCTCCTGTTGAACTGGCTCCCATGGCCACCACTGTGATGGGGGGGACCTGAGTTTGATCCCAAAGAGTTGCAAAGAAGCAGCTCCAGTGAAAATGGCTTTAACCTGTCCAAGGGGAGGCTGAGATGAGCTCTTAGGCAGAAGCTCTTCCCTGTGAGGGTGCTGAGGCGCTGGCACAGGGTGCCCAGAGAAGCTGTGGCTGCCCCATCCCTGGCAGTGCTCAAGGCCAGGTTGGACACGGGCTTGGAGCAAGCTGCTCTAGTGGAAGGGGTCCCTGCTTGTGGGCTGGATGAGCTTTAAGGTCCCTTCAGCCGAAACCACTCTGGGATTTTAGGAGAATCGATGTGTTGGCCATCTCCTGGAATGTTGTGCATGATCTCCTGAGCAAACCCAGCAATGCTCCCAAGAATGTCAGCACCATTGCTAAGTGTAAGCCTTTATCAAGAGCATTAGACCCCGGCCAGTCCACTTAGGTCACTTCAGCCTGCACTAGAGCAGTGGGCATCAGGCAGTGTTTTCTCTGGTTTGAGCTGTACTGATGGTAACCAGGTCCCTCTCTTTTTTCCAGGAGTTCGCCCGGAGCGTCTCCCGGTGTTTGATGAGGAATGCTGGCAGCTGATGGAAGCCTGCTGGGATGGAGACTCCTCCCAGCGCCCCCTCTTGGGCATTGTTCAACCTATGCTGCAGGGGATCATGGACAGGCTCTGCAAGTCAAGCTCTGAGCACCCAAATAAAGGGTTGGATGACTCGACTTGAAAAGGAAGCACAGAAGAATCTTTGATTGTGGGAGAATTCGGAAGCCCTGGCTCTGCAGAGGGCTTCTTGAGGTGTAGCTCTTTGTGGCTAACACGAGTGGGACAGGTAATAGCAGCCAGAAGAGGTGAGACCTCGGGGATGTTCCATCTTGAATAGCAGCCTGAGATATCTCCCCCAGCACACCCCACTGATGCCAGTTATCCCGCTGCAGCTTTTACTATGGAGTTGTGCAACTAAGGTAGAAAATCCATGCCCTTGAACTCAAAGGGATTTTTGCCAATCCCACACAAACACCAATCAAAGAAACATCTCTTGTGCTTCAGATAGCATCTGTGTTGCCAGGAGTTGATCACAGCAGTCTTTACTTGGGAAAGTAAAGACTTTTCCCATTAACTGCTGGTCCTGGGTGGCCTTTGGTCCACACATAACTACATCCCAGTCACTTCCCGATTGGCACCAATTACAGCGTGGTTGGAGAGGAAGGAGAAAGCAGAGGCTCTAAGCTGGGAAGTGTTCAGAAGCTAAGAGAGCATCTCTGGAGGAGCTTCTTGAAACACTCAACATGTTTACATTGACAGGAGCAAAGCTTCCATGTTTTACCAAGGGGGTTTACCTACTGCTCCAGTGCAGTGCAGATGCCCCAGGTTATAAGCTATTTATCCTTTCTGTACCCTTCACCTCTTCCTTCTGCAAACAAGCTCTGTCTTTCTGGTTATTCTGCTTCATAAGAGGTATTTGAATGTCTGAAGAAACCTGAGCAGCCTTTTCCAGCCTTCCAGTGCAAGGGAAGGCTGCTCAGAGGTAACACAGTGGAATACCGAAACCAGGTTGTTACAACTAATGACTGTCCATGGGGGAAATGCCAATTCCTTTTAATGACATTTGGGGTTTGGAAAAGCAGTTTTAACTTGTGCTGTGACAGCCATAGTTTTAAAGAGGGCTTCTTCAGCTTTTTATTTCAAGTCACATGCTTGGTGAGAGCATACTCGAGGGGAAACAGGTCATTCATTCGTTCTTCAGTGGCTGTGTCTGTTCATCTGACCATTGCACTCCGGGATCCTGAATTTGGCTGTATTGAGTAAAAAAGGGGGGGAGGGATCCTTTGCAACAAGGGTATAGGCAGGGGGGGCTGCTTCTGCAAATAATCTCCTTGCCTCTCATGTATTTCTGGGGCAAGATTGATCTTAATGTAACCTACTTACAGGGTGGAGGCTGAAATAGAACATGCACTTTGTTCATGACATGAGGAAATAGTGAGTTGGCAAGTTCTCCCTGGGCTTCCTGTTCCTTCCAGTTGCAGAGGATGGGCACGCAATGGCTTTGTTTCCCAGGAAAGCTGACACGCTGCATCTGAAGTAGGGGAGGGATGTGAAATTACTGCACCTTGTGGCTGGAATTTATTGGCTAGGATACAGCAAAATGACAACTGATAAGTCTGCCTGGTGAACAGCTTGAACAAAGGAAAGGGATACATAACCCTGCAGTATTAGTTTAAATCTTCCTTTGTGCAATAAACAGAATTAATGCTTTTTTATGTGTATATATATATAAAGACTTTTTTTACTTACCTGCACGTGTGGGCATTATTCTGGTCTGTGGTGGCATTAATGGTGTGGTTCTGTCCAGACACTCAGGAGTTGCTCCCAGCGCAGCCACCCGGAGCCACACGTGCAGGATGAACCCTTCAGCATCCCACTGCCTTGGTGCCACCAGTGCCACTAACAGCATTAACCCTGTCCAACTGTGTGTGCTGCTCCGTAACACTTATTTAAAGCTAGGAGAGTCAAGGTCAGTCTCTTGCATTTATTAGAGGTAGCTTCTGTAAATAATAAATGTATGAATAAAATCTCAATCTCTGTATGTGCAATCCCAGAACTGTCGTGCGTACCTTTTCCTGTATGGCCATCTCCATCTTCAGCTGATGCCTTTTTATCCCTGGTTGTAGCTGCCTTGTTGCCATTCAGTTTCTCTTTCGGCACAGGTGGGGAGGGATCTGCAGGTTTTCCCTGGCTCAGTACAACGTCTCTGCATTACTTTGGCCTGAGCTTGTGCTGAGCCATTCCACACACCCGCTTCATCTTTAAAACTATAGAGTTTTCCCTCCCATTAGAACAAGGCAAATGAGGTGAATAAGGGCTTTATTCACCTTCCCGAGGCTGTACACTGGAGGTGGTTCTGAGCTGAGCAGGTATTAAGGCCACCTTTATCTCCTCGCTCTATTGAAGAAGTTTGTCACAGTGTGTTGTAAAAGGGCACCTAACCTGCACATCGCACCTGTAACCAGGGGTTGGACTGACCTGTACCCAGCCCCAGCCCAGTGCCGGCTGTCCCGGTATGGAGCGTGCTGCTCTTTCACACGAGCTACGTCCCAGAGGCTGATGGTGGTCAGCAGTGAGGGGAGACCTCCCTCTGCCTTCCTGCAGCAGGGATCAACCCAAAATGGTGCTGGGAGCAGACTCATGGGATCTGCTAGAGGAGGGGCCGGGTCCCTGCACGCTTCAATCGCCGCCGCTGACTTGCTCTGCCCGGTTTTAAGCCTTTTATTCACATCACACATAACGGGACGAGCACTTGCGCTGTACTGGGTGAGGAAGGGGCTCGGGAGCTCCTCTGCTCTCCCTGGGTCATACTGGCCCTAACGCAGAGGGTTACTGCCGGCATCTGCCTCGGTTTGGGGCTGGAGCCGGGAGGGGGGCTCCGTGTGTGGGGATGGGGAGCGCAGCCCCTGCTCTCCCTGTGCCCCCGTTTTAGCTTAAATCGGGGTGGGGGGAGCGCATTCCCCGGCCCAGCTCCGCCGCTGTCACCGCCCGTACCCCGCCAGCGCCGCCCCCTGCGCCCCCCGCCGGTTCCTCCGCCGCCCCGGAACCTCAGCCCCGCGGCCGCAGTGCCCGCCCGGGCCGCTCCCCGCGCAGGCGCCGGGCTGCCCGCCGCGCTGCCTGAGCGCCGCCTGAGCGCCGCCGGCCGCCAGCCGCCATCCGCAGCGCGGGGCGAGGGTCGGTGCCGGGCGCGGTGCCCGCGGGGCGAGGCGAGGCGGGCGGCGAGGGGCTGGTGGGGAAGGAGGAGAAGGGGAGCGGGGCTCCGTCAGGCGAACCGCGGGGCGGCGCGGAGCAGGCCCCCGGCGGGGTCCTTCGGCGACGGTCACGGAGGGAGCGGGACGGCGGCCGCGATGAACCTGGAGCTGCTCGGTGGGTGCGGGGGGTGCGGGGAGGGCCGGGGGGTGCGGGGAGGACCGGGGGGTGCGGGCCGGGCCCTCACTCAAGCGCTGTCTTTGCGTTTCCTTGCAGAGTCCTTCGGCCAGAACTACCCTGAGGTAACACCCCCCCCCCCCCCCCGCCCGTTGCACCGAGCGGCTCGGTACGGCGGAGCCTGACCCCCCGTCCGCCCCCGGTGCTGCCCTGTCCCCGCAGGAGGCCGATGGGACCCTGGACTGCATCAGCATGGCCCTGACCTGCACCTTCAACCGCTGGGGCACGCTGCTCGCCGTGGGCTGCAACGACGGGCGCATCGTCATCTGGGACTTCCTGACCAGGGGCATCGCCAAGATCATCAGCGCCCACATCCACCCCGTGTGCTCCCTGTGGTGAGAGGGGCGCGGGGCTGCGGCGCTGCTGAGCTCCGGGGTTGCTCTGGGGGAAGGTGGCCCTGCCCGTGGCAGGGGTTGGAGCTGGATGAGCTTTGAGGCCCCTTCCAACCCGAACCAGGCTGGGATCCTGTGACTGAGCCCCGCGTATGCACCCGGTACGGGGGTGTCGTGGTTTAAACCCAGTCAAGTGCTATGCAGCCAAATCCCCCCGTTCTGCGCCAAGCCTGGTGAGCTGTGGTGTGGAAAACCCCTTTGGTTGGTGTGTGGAGTATCCCCCTGGCCAGTGTGGGGCAGGTGTCCTGGCTGTCCTCAGCTTCTTCTGCCTCACGTCACTAGCAGAGCCTGGGAAACTGCAAAGCCCTTGATGAGGGTAAGAAGGGCTCATCAGCAACCAAAACGTCAGCGTGTTATCAGTGCTGTTCTCAGGTAGATGCCAAGCCACAGCCCTGTACCAGCCACTGGGAGGAAAATTAACTCTATCCCACCCATTAGCAGGACAGAAGAGCTGTTCTTTTTGATGGAATTTGCCTGTGCCTGTGTTTGCTGAGCATCAGGTACTGATGTCCTGACAGCTCCTAACACCCAGGTGTGCCAATGGCCTAAATGCCAGCCTGCTGCGGGATACTCCCTGCATTCCAGGGGAGTTTCCTTGGAAAGAATTTGGAAACAGGTTATGCCTGTTAACGTTTTGCGTTACTTTTCACCCTAACAGGGTTATACCTGATACAAATCTCAATGAATATATATATATGTATATGTCTGATCATTTGGTCTAATAACTAGAAATTGGGGGGTTTATGCATTTGAGGAGTAACTGATTCAAATTGCCTCATGTTCCTGCAGCTGGAGTCGAGATGGTCACAAACTGGTGAGTGCTTCCACGGATAACATCGTGTCACAGTGGGATGTGCTCTCTGGAGACTGCGACCAGAGGTTTCGATTTCCTTCACCCATCCTGAAGGTTCAGTACCACCCTCGAGACCAGTAAGTCCTGTGAGAAAGGGGTTGAATGCTCTGATTTTGGTAGAACTAATGATGATTAAAACGTTTTTCCTGTAGTTTGCAAGGGGATTTTTTCCATATTTAATAGAGGGGTTTAGTGTTATTGTCTTGTGATTTGTTGTGGCTCTTCTTGTTATCAAAATAGCAGGATGGGGAGAGAGTAAACATGGGAATGGGCCTTGGAAGTGTGGGCAGAAATGTCTCCTTTGTTTTGATGTTTTCCAGAGAAGAAACTCCTAACCCTTCTTTTCCTGCTCTGCAGAAACAGGGTTTTGGTTTGTCCCATGAAGTCGGCGCCGGTGATGCTGACGCTGTCAGACTCCAAACACGTTGTCCTGCCTGTGGATGATGACTCTGATCTCAATGTCGTGGCCTCCTTTGACAGGCGAGGGGAATACATTTACACAGGCAATGCCAAGGGGAAGGTGAGGCTCCAGCAGGTGGCACTGGATGCCATAGCTTTGATTAATTCCTGACTTTAGCAAGATGCTTCATGTTTCTGGGTTGCATTCTTTGTTTTAGTACCCAAATAAAGCTTCCTGAATGTCTCTTGAGCGATTGATCCTGCGTTGATACAATCTTATGAGCAACATCATGCCTTACCTTTGAAGATCTCTAGGCTACAATCTGTATCTCAGGCCTTTATGTTGCTTTTGACCCTATTTGTTGGATCCTTTTCCAGTGTAGATAAAGCAATGCTTATGTCGCAGAACTGTCGCAGAAACTGTAGTACAGCTACAGGTGCAGAATCCCAACTATTCCTGTGTAGATTGCTGAGGCTTCTGTTGTTAGGGTTAATAGCTGATGGAAGAGGTAGCAAAAGGGGATTGAATTCTAATGATGACACTGATTGCCTCCTGTCTCCTTCATCTGCAGATTTTGGTCTTAAAAACAGAAACTCAGGATCTTGTTGCTTCCTTCAGAGTGACAACTGGAACCAGCAACACCACAGCTATTAAATCGATTGAGTTTGCTCGGAAGGGAAGGTGAGGTACTCCATCTACCAAGTGATAGCTTTAAAGATGAATTGACAACTACAGGGTAGATTGACTCGGCATATGAGGTGTTAATACCCCCCATAATTCTTACATGGAACATAGAATCATAGAACAGTTTGGGTTGGAAAGGACCTTAAGATCATCCAGTTCCAACCCCCTGCCATGGGCAGGGACACCTCACACTAGGTGATGTCGGCCAAGGTTCAATCCAGCCTGGCCTTGAACACTGCCAGGGATGGGGCAGCCACAGCTTCTCTGGGCACCCTGTGCCAGCGCCTCAGCACCCTCACAGGGAAGAGCTTCTTCCTTACATCTAACCTGAATTTACCCTGTTTTAAACCATCACCCCTTGTCCTATCACTACAGTCCCTGATGAAGAGTGCCTCTCCAGCATTCTTGTAGCCCTTTAGATGTTGGAAGGCTGCATAATCTGATTCTTTCTATTTCTCAGTCTATTAATGTGATACATGTTCTGTGCCCTCCTTTTACAGCTGCTTTTTGATAAACACAGCTGACCGGATAATCAGGGTGTATGATGGCCGTGAAATTCTCACTTGTGGACGAGATGGGGAGCCTGAACCCATGCAGAAGCTGCAGGATTTAGTGAACAGGTAAGAGGCAGCAGGGTGGCTGGTCAGCCTCACTGGCAGAGGTGAGGTATGCATGCTCAGCACTAATGGGAGAAGGCAAGATCTCAGTCTCAAGAACAAACCCACTCCGCAGTCCTCCAGCCTTCCTGCTCTGCTCTTGTCTCAGGATTTAACTTGTGTTGCTGTCTTTGCCTGCAGGACACCGTGGAAGAAGTGCTGTTTCTCTGGTGATGGTGAATATATAGTGGCAGGGTCAGCACGACAGCATGCCCTGTACATCTGGGAGAAGAGCATTGGAAACCTGGTGAAAATCCTGCATGGGACCAGAGGGGAGCTGCTCTTGGATGTAGCGGTAAGAAAACTGACTGCATTTCTTGTTACTTTGAAAACTAAGCTTTCTTAATTCAAATCAGTTAAACTCCTTCTCTTTTCTCTTTCTAATAAATCCAGTGGCATCCTGTCCGACCCATCATAGCTTCTATTTCAAGTGGTGTTGTCTCAATATGGGCTCAGAATCAAGTGGTAAGTGTTTTAGATAGTTTCCTTAAGAGGATTCCCAAACTTAACCTGCAGTATTAAGCATAATCCAGTATTTATTATATGCTCCATCCCTGGCAGCGTTCAAGGCCAGGTTGGACAAAGCCTTGGGTAACATGGTCTAGTGTGAGGTGCCCCTGCCCATGGCAGGTGGTTGGAACTGGATGACCTTAGGGTCCTTTCCAACCCAAACTGTTCTGTGATTCTATTCCAGTGTTGTATTTTCAGTAAGAACTAACTTGTGTGCTTCCTAATTTACTGTGTGACGGTGGACCTGAATGAAACTTCATTTTATTGTGAGCCTGTGTGTGGCTTGGGTGATTTTAATGCAGAATGAGACTGTAATTGTTTGTGTCCTCACTCCAGTTGTTGTTCCTTTGCATAAGGTAAAAATCACTTTGACTTTGTGCTTTAGGAAAACTGGAGTGCCTTTGCTCCTGACTTCAAAGAGCTGGATGAAAACGTGGAATATGAAGAGAGAGAGTCAGAGTTTGACATTGAGGATGAAGATAAGAGTGAACCAGAACAGACAGGTACTGTGTAAACTGTGTTTTCAGTCTAATTACATATCCGTACCAGAAGTGAAAACTAGTGCTCATAGTGGTATAGGTGGGTGTTAAATGACAAAACAGGAGTGGGTAAATGAAGACAGGTGAGCTAACACAGTAGGATTCAAGGCCAGGTTGGATGGGGCTTGGAGCAACTTGGTCTCGTGGAAGGTGTCCCTGCCTGTGACAGGGGCTGGAACTGGATGAGCTTTAAGGTCCTTTCCAACCCATCCCGTGATTCTATGATCTTTCTAGAAACTCCTCCCCTCTTCAGGAGGTGTTTTACAGCAGAAAACAGCAGATAGACACGGATGGTTGTCCAGGCCTCCTCAGCGGCAGCAGCAGCACTGAATTGTAAGCGATGGCCGCACAACCTGGCCACTTGGTGGTGCCAGAAAACTGTGTCCTGTGCCAGCCTGCCTCTAAGGACAGAGAGAAGGATTATTCCCAGCACACCATAGAGCTTTCCTCGCTAGCAGGCTCTGCAGCACTTCTCCTGGTTGGATGAATTGCTCTTTGGCAATTTCTAATATTCAAGTGTAATGTTGGTTTGTGGGTATTAAGCATTCTTTCCCTGAAATTTGGTCTTTTCCTTACTGTCTTGAATTTACCTTTTTGCCCTGGTTCTTAGGTGCTGATGCTGCAGAAGATGAAGAAGTGGATGTCACGAGTGTGGATCCCATTGCTGCCTTCTGTAGCAGGTGAAAGAATCTTGTGTTTAAAGTATGAATACAAAATGTATCACTAATATTCCCTGTATAATATGTTCTAATAACCCCTAGTTTTAAATGAAAGCAGACATTTTTCCTTCACAGTGATGAGGAACTGGAGGACTCCAAGGCTCTGCTTTACTTACCCATTGCTCCTGAAGTTGAAGATCCAGAAGAAAACCCCTATGGGCCTCCACCAGATGCGGTTCAGAGCTCTTTAACTGATGAGGGAATAGGCTCTGAGAAGAAGAGGCAGTGCTCCTCTGATGGACCCCAGGCACCAAAGAAGAAGCCCAAAACCACCAACATTGAGCTACAAGGAGTACCTAATGATGGTGTGTAGTAGCTGCAACTGTTTTAGTGCTTGTTCTGCATTTGAGATGGCTTTGAGCTTTGCCTTTACCTTGTCTGAAGAGCAGAAGTTCAGAATGCCACTTGTTACTTTGAAGTCACTTCTTATAACACTTATGAATAGCTGCCCACTCTTGCTGGCATTTTGCAAGCTAGGGAGAAGTAAGATGTCCTGATACTGTTAGTTTTTAATGCTGTTTATATCTGGTGCTGTACATGCTGAGGTTTAATTCACTTTGGTGCCACGTTGTCTTTCCACAGAAGTCCATCCGCTGCTGGGTGTGAAGGGAGATGGTAAATCCAAGAAGAAGCAAGCAGGCAGGCCTAAAGGATCAAAAGGTAAAGACAAAGATTCTCCATTTAAACCGAAACTCTACAAAGGGGACAGAGGTGCTTTACCTCTGGAAGGAGCAGCGAAGGGTAAAGTGCAGGCGGAGCTGGGACAGCCTTTGACAGGTAAGGAACCCAGCGGGAGCGTCGTTGCCTTGCTTGGTGGCCTTGCTTTGTACAGACCCTGACTTAATATAGTCCTAGTTTTATCTTCCCAAATGGCACTTGCTCACTGAATGTTCAGCTGCTGTCAAGGAGAGGCAAAATTTTACAGCACTGTTAGACTGCAGGTTGAGTACTAGTTCAAAGGCAAAACATCTTTGGATATCTTTTTTATAACTTCTGTCAGTTCTTCCATAAACAGTAACAGGGTCTGGTTTTGGTGGGTCGATGTTGAGGGGGGAAAAACGTAAAGAGTGAAGGCTTCTGAAGCTGAAGTTGACATTTTGTGCCATCAGTACGAGGCAAAATGATGAAGAACAGCAGAGTTCTGTAAGCAGAAGTAGGAAATGGAGCATTGGTAATGGTCTGTTTGGTGAATGAACCCTGAGAGGAAATCCAGGAGCTGAATTTTCTTTTCCAAACTACACGGCAGCCTTATTTAAATTCCAGGCAGTGCATTTGCTGGCAATGAGGGTAGGTTTCAGTGGACTTTAATCCTTTTTCCCTCTGGTCATGTTTTGTTGGTTGTGTACAAAACCAGGACTGTTGCAGTCACCTTTGCGGGGACCCAGACTTAGTCTCAGTCTCCTTTGCTACTTCAGCTTCTTCACTGGGAAAAGTCCATTTAAGCTCAGTGACGAAAGCACATGTTTGGATGAAGTGATGTGGACTCCGCTGTTTATTGCTTTTAGAGTGTATTTAATAAGTCAGGGTTGATACATAGACAGTCTCAATGGCACTGCTATATCAAATTTTGCACTTCCTTGAACTCAGCCGCTGCTGCTGTGGATTTTAGACTGTACAGAAGTGATTTTATTCCCCCTTTTCCTTCCCTCACTGCTGGTCCTACGCTACCCACCTTGCTCATTGTCCTTCCTGCTCAGCTCCTGTCCCACTGCTTGTACTAGTACTGACAATTGCTGTTTGCAGAAAAAGGGGAGGGGATGAAAGCAACTTAATCTGTAAAGTATGATAGTAAAGGAATTACCTGGATTGGGGAGTCCTCTGGTGTCTTTGCTGGCATCTGTGACACATCCTGTCTGCTCTGTTGTACATTGCTGGATGGATAAGCCTGGTTTGAGGACCAAATGATTAGACCATTACATATCCTTGCACAGCCGTATGTGGGAGGATTTCTGTGTGGTTTTGCTTGTAGTGCTGCCATGGAGTTGTTGTAATAGAGTCTGACTTGCTACAAAAGCCAGCAGTGGAACTTTACTGTTGCTGAGTTTGGGATGTGGATATCCAGGCCAGACCAGTGATCTTTGGGGTTTGGGCACTGTAAATTGGAAGTTTTCTCATGAACAAATGCATTTAAACTCATGTTCTCCACTTCACCAGTCTAGAGGAGATGGTAGAGCTTTCTGAAATAGACTTTTAGCCTTTGTTGCCTGGAAGCAGTTGAAGTTGGTTTTCCGTGGTGCAGTTCTTTGATTTGATTGGGATATAGGCAAAGAATCAAAATGAAGGACATCTGTCTCTCGTTAGGACCTGTTGTTGTGCTTCCTTCTACACTTAAGAGGATTTCTTAGATCCATGCAGTAGATCTCAGTAGTCAGTGTTGGAAGTGTCTCTGTAAGTCACATTGTGAGAAGAACGGATCGGCAGCTAAAGGAACTGTTGCTTGGATCTTTCCAAACTCACAGGAGTCTTTTAGTCCATGAAGCTTATGTCTGCCTTCCTTTACTCCCTTTACGCCTTGCGCTTACAAGTCCTGTTTTGGGCAGCCAGTTTTTCTCGGTTCCACCACGTGCAGATGCACGCTTCCACATTGAAATGGCCACCTGTGATCCTGGAGCCTCTCCTGTCTCTCATGCGTGGAGCTGTTAATTTTGCTAGTTCCTTGTGCTGTTGCTTTTGAAGTAACTAATCAGCTACTAAAACAGTCACACAAAGGCATTTCTCTCATATGCCCTAATACAGTGTCTTGCTGCAAGCTGCATGGCTGGGATGAGGAGCTTGGCACTGGTGCATCTGTATCACTGTGCTGTGCAGTCTGGAATGTCTTCCTCAAGCTGCTGTGTCAAAATTGGGCTTCAAACAGACTGAGGAGCTTGATGCATTTTGTAGCTTTAGAATAAAATCTTACAATTTGGGTTAACCCAGGCTTAGGTGAGGCTTGTTTTCTGTTGGGATTTCGCTCTCGGGTTTTGGGACTGTTTGACACCAGGTAAGTTGCTTTGCAGCTTTGTGGAGTAAAAGCTCAGGAGTTTCTCAGCCACCTTGTCACAGACAGTACCTTGTTGGTTGTACCTCATTAGACTGAAAAGAATGGCTTTAGCTGGGAAATCTTGTCCTCCTTTCTCTGGAAATGCTGAATTTGGTGGTCTCTGACTTTTAGGAACATCTGTTAGAGGCTGGTTACTTACTTTTGACCTGTCTTTGATCTCTTTAGCAGGTGGTGCAATCTCAGAATTGTTATGAAGACACTCTCCTTTAGCTTCCTGTATGCTTTCCTATTTTGGCACCATAATGTGGAAACTAGATGAAATGCTCAGTCAGAGTGGACTGACTAACACAGCAGACTGATTGCTCATGGATTCAGGGAGTGACTTTCATTTGAAATGACTATGGAAGAGGAAGCAGCTTCATTCCTCCTTACCTGCCTCTGCATGGAACAGTGTAAGATGCTAACTCTCAGGTCATGCGATTTGCAAAGAGACTCGTTGGACTGCCTTTGTGGTGATATATAGAACTGTAAAGTGAGCTGGAAGGGACCTCCAGAGCTTACCACCATTGTCTTTTAAATCCCCTTTTTTTTATTCCTGGATTGAAGAATACCCAAAGTGTGCATTTTTATTCCTGGTGACTATATCCTGCAAACATCCCTTTCTTTGCTGTTAAGTTTCATTTCAGTGAGTTGTGACTCCTTCCATGCCAGCTTCTCACCTTCCCAGCTTTTTGGGTAGCTTGCTATGATGTCTTCTGTGCTGAGGCTCCTGCTGATTACGTGCCAGGTGGACAGAGACCTAAGGTGAAGAATCAAGAGACCCTCTGAAGTCTGCAAAGAATGAAGCTTCATATTGTGAACAGTTCAGACATGAAGGATGACCCTGCTTATGGGAGGAAGGAGCTCTAGATAAAATACTCAGCTGTTATGCTCTCTTTTAACCTGTGATATGAAAAGCAGTGTTGGCAGTTTCTGTCCTAGCAAAAGTGGTTTTATTCTGTCCCTTTCCTGTGCGGTGCCCTACCGGAAGCAACTGGTTTCCTCCTCGGCTGATAGGAACTGGCAGATAGAGAAAAACCAGAACCCCACCTCTGGATCAAGAATGGAAGATGAATGCTAACAGCTCACTCCCAGCCATGCTTTAACCATTTCCTCCTTAAAGATGGTTGGAATATTTTCCTTGTGGGAATGGAAAGAGACACTTTATCCAGTAGTGATAGCCTGAGAGCTCTGTACCAGACCGACTGTCTGTTAAAAGGTTTTCATTCCTAATGCCCTTTGCTTCATAGACTTTTATAGTTCCTATGCAATTACTTTTAGTTTTCTCCCAGCTGTAATTACTGAGCTCATCATTGTGTATTGGAATTGTCAAAGCATCCTGCAGACAGTAAAACCCAACAAGAGGAGTCGTGAAGAGATCTCTTCAGTTGCAGTTGGAAGCGTGCAGCAGTTGCACGAGATGAAGTATGGGAAGAGAGGAGACACTTTGAATCAGGAGGGTTTTTAAAGCTGGTGGTTTCATTTCTGGCTTTGGTGCAGTGGCTGCTTCGTGTAATGAAATCCGTGTGTACAGTAGGAGTTTTCCTTGTTCTTTCTGCTTGTAGGATGACTTGCATCTCCCCTGGAATACTGTTGTGTCCAATCCACCCTAGTGTGGCATGGCTGACCCCACGAGCTTTAAAAGATGCACAGGCAGTGGCTCTTCAGGTTGTCCTAAAGCATGTGATTTGCCACAGACTCCAGCCTGTTTCTGGTAAACCTTTGCTGTACAGTGTATATGTCCTTGGTTTCTTTTCTTCCATCTTCTGTTTTATTTTCTAGTATCTGTAGTTTTGTACAGTATTTGACAGATACTGGCTTGGTGGTAGTCTACAGCAGTGATGGTAGGTTTTGTGGTTGTAAATAAAGAGGTATGTTTCATTTCCTAAAGTCAATGGCTAAGTCTTGGCTTTTCCATACAGCCCTGACTGTGGGGACAGTGGTTAGGAAGAGCAGCACAGCTCTGGTGTGAGCACACTGTGCCTTCACCACAGCTGGTGTGTTCCTTTGGGACACCTGAGCACTACGTGGGTTACACTGGGATGTCTCATCTGCGGTTTGCTGCGGTGGCAGCAGGGGAGTGGTTTCTGTTTGATACACACATCACTTGAACATGGGGCTTTGGGGTCGGTGGCTGCACGTGGCACAGGGCTCGGCCTCGCAGCTCCTCTGAGCGATGCCATGGGGCCGGGGCCGGGGCCGGTGAGCCCCTCCTGAGTCAGGCAGTTGATGTCAGGAGCCTTTTGTGTTGAGCCCTCATCTCAGAGGACTCACTTTGGCTTCCAAGGAAGGGGAGTTCTTTGGGGCCACGTTCTGCCCCAGGGCTGTGACATCAGCACTGTTCCCTTGGGAACGGGGAGATGGGGCTGCAGTGAGCCCTGCACAGCCAGGATAAAATACTGCTGAGGTTGGCTTCCATTTTCAGTGCTGTAAGATAGCCAGAGGTTGCAATGTTGGTTTTGTGATCTTGGTCACTTGGGGAGTACTTTAGGATTTGGGATGTGTGTATATAATCCAGAACTATGCAGGTGCTGTGTAATGATTCAGGTTTTCCTCATGCCCCAAAAGCATTTTAAATGTTCCAGGAGTGATTATTTGTAGTTTGGTGGGAAAGTTAAATTGGAACAATACTTCTTTATGGTGGGAATAGACTCATAGAATGGTTTGGGTTGGAAGGGACCTTCAGGATCATCTCAAATAGTCTCTAAAAGTTTTGCAGAGAAGGGAGGATTTCATCTTTAAGTTGTCAACTATATCCAAATGGCTGGAATGTGGTGGATTAAAACATCCTGCTGCCCTGTTCCCGCAGCTGCACTCATGATTCACATTCTGACCAATGCAGTAATGTGTTGCATCTCTTTCAGCAGCATTGTGCTTCAAGCCTGTCTCGTTGGAGGATTTTTCCTAATTGAAGCATTAGGTCTTGAAGGTGATGCTGGCAGCATTTCAGAGCTACCAAGTTTGAAGACGTCCAGAGAATGCCTGTGGTGACCCATCTGATTGACAACCCCAGCATGGAGCCCCTGGGGAGCAGCCACATCCTTGGGCTGCTCCTTTGTGCTTTCCATGTGCCTTTGGTGGCTTCCCTTGCAGGCGTTACCATCCCCGCAGAGCTCCGGTCCGTTGTGGCCCCGGTGGTGGTGAACACCACGCTGTGCAGCGTCACCTGCGGGCTGGGCTTCAAGCTGGAGGAGCTGTGCGAGCTCAGCCCGGGCGGGCGGAGGCAGAACTGCACCGTGCGCCGCACCGCCTGCCTCGCCAGCTGGCACTGTGGCTTGCACCACTTCACCCTCGCCGTGGGCCAGCCCTTCCAGCTGAGCTGCCTGACCTCAGACGTCGCGGGCAGTGGGAGCCCAGCCTACAGCTGTGCATGGAGCTTTGCCCCAGGCCTCATCACCACGAAGGACGTCCTGTTCAGACCTTTCGGAAACCCCAGGCCTGTTGTCAGGTTTTCCCCTACCAAGGAGTCGGACGCAGGGACTTACCGATGCGAAGTGCAGGTGGTAAAGACGTTGAGAGTGGTCAAGAGGGTCTACTTTGCAGTCAGAGTGATCCAGAAGGACCTGGTGGATCTGAACTTCCAAAAATTCCTGACTTGGGAGCAGAAGTTAGCAGCAAGCAAGGTGGAAGAGAACCTAGAAACGGGTGTCTATGAAGTGCAAGAAGAGGAGCCCTTTTGGAAAGGAGAATTGTTTTATCAGTGCTTGCTAGGAATTGGCAGTGGGGTGGCAGGGGGTATCTTGCTGAGCGTGGTGCTCCACTGCTTGCAGAGGATTTGGAGAGGGAGAGCTGCAGAGCAAGGAGCTAAGATTTAATGTCCCTTCTTGTCTGTCTCTTTCTTGATGCAGTGTTTCATGGGGGTGGTTGTGGGTTTTCTGGCTGACACAGTTTATTCCCAGATACTTTCTGAAGCTTCAAAGTAATTTAGTACATGGCCATAGAACCAGAGCTTGAGTCTTAATGGAGTGGTGCAGAGAGAGCTCCAGATGGAGCAAGGCAGTGTGCCTCCCCATTGTGTGAAAGGATGGTCTGGAATGGTCCAGACAGGAGTTAAAGGACACCGAGCCACAGAAAACTGCTCATTGCCTTGCTGCGTTCCTCTAACAGGCCTTTATTTTTCTTCTGTGTGTTTAGGGGATTTTATTTAGCTAATAACTTGTGATCCTTATTCCTTACTCTTCTGCCTTGCTGAGGGCTCTGGTGCCAGGAGCTGACACAGATTGCCCTGTGGTAGGTGGTGTTTCTCCAGCAAGAGGTGCTTTCGAGGCAGCATACCAAACCTGCTTTCCTAGCTGTCTGGTGTCCTTTCCACCAGCTCAAAGTAGATCCCCACGGTCTCAGTAACTGTGGGGCAGTGTTGGGACAAGCAGTGGGTGCCTGATTCCTTAGGAGGGATTTATCTCCTTCCACTAGAGCTGGGAAAAGTACCTTCAAGCAGTAGCTTGGAGCTTGCCCTATTCCTTTGTAGTGGAGAAGAGCAAGGCAGGGAGCACTGGGGAGCCCAAGCAAATCTGCTGCTTAGGAGCATAACGGGGTGGCTTTAATCATGACTCAGAGCTGAGCTCGTTCCTAAGGGAGAGGAAGGGAGGAGCTCAGTGGGCTGCAGAGCTTTCATTTTGCCTGGTGATTAATAAGTATAAACCACGCAGCGTCTCCATAGGCAGTATTGTTCCCCCCCTTTGTAGCAGAATTCACAGAGGGACCTATTAAGTGCCTTCTCTTTCTACTTTGCATCTTATTTTACAGCAAACAACTATATTTACTACGTCTATTTCCTTTTTTCTTTCCCTATGAACTAAAGAACAGGAATGCACAGCACAAAATATTACAGATTGAAGCATGCTATTCCTTTTTGCCAGAAGAACAAAAAAGATGCTTTAATATGGAAAGAGTTGCATGTGGAGGTAAATACCCAATTTGATCATCCTATACAGAAAATCAGGCTGAAATAGGAAGCTAAATCTTTGTGTGCAGTGAGGAAGGCAGGAAGTGTATCAGGTCAGTGGGCTGTGGACCTTGAGTAGCTGTACCCAAATGGAGGAGCAAGCCTGTCAGCAGGCTTCAGTTCCTGGTGTGTACTTGTACGAGTTCCCTCTTTCCATGGGGAGACTTTAATGGGCACAAGAACCAGCCAAAGTTTGGAACCTGACATTTGGCAGTGCCAGGAGATGCCTTTGGGAAGATGCACTGCCCCTTCCTGATGCGTGGGGCCACCCTTTTGGGAAGGAACTTCCCACACACCAGATTTACAGAGCTCTTTTTGCCCCCTGAGCATGAGGAGATGGGTGATAGTATTGGTGAATGTAATGCCCATCACAGGGGAGAGGAAGCTGCTGTCTGCTCCCCTGTCTGTCGTGCTGGGTGGGATGAGACCTGGGCTGCTTTGGGGCAGGCTGTGCTGAAGAACTCCCTGAATAGCAGGAGCAGACATGCTTGGATTGGGAGGTAATGGCTAAAATCAACAGAGAGAAGCTGCCCCATCTGGAAGAGCCTCCCTGCTCTTTGTCATGGAAATGACATTGCATCTTGTGGGCAGCTGTGCTTCAGACTCGCAGAAAGATGATATGAAAGGTCCAGGACAATCCATTTTCTCCCTGCTTAGCTGAGGAGGTCAGGGTGGGAGCCAACAGGGTCCTTCATCTTACGGTGTCCTCTCTTTGTTCTTCTGAGGGGACCCAGATGCCCACAGCAGGAAACATTAATACATATTTTAATGGTTATTTCAAGATGGATAATATACTTATTTTTAATGCTTGTTTTAAGGGGTGGGTTTGTGATGGCCAGTGCAGCTTCAGCTGTCAGAAGGGATGGATCTCGGCTTCTTACTGGCATCATGGCTGTTTGAAATGACACTCTCCTGATGTGCTTTTTGAGGTTTGGCTGATGTCTGGATTAGCTGGGGGTGGAGGAGAAGGAAGAGAGAGCAGACTGAGCTGGGGGGAAGGAAGGACACAGAAAGGGAATAGGGGAGGTGGGATGTACAGGGGGTCAGTGAAAGCTGAAGCAAGGACCGCTCGTAACACTGTTCTCTCCCCATCCATATGTTTCGTTCTGTCTCTTCCTGTAATATCCATGTTTTCTTAGCCCCTGTCCCTGTTCTTACCAAAATAACTGACTCAATTACAGGACAAAAAGTGTCTTTTTCTGCTCTGCATTGGTAATATGGTGCCTGAACCACTTCTCAGCCCAGTTTGTCTGCCTGACCCATGGGGAGGCTGCAGCATCCACACACACCAACCCTGCTGCTGACTGGTCCCAGCTGGAGGCTGCTTCTTTGGACAGACTTGTGCTCAATCAGTATTAGGAGGCAATTAGCATTGTACAAACTAAAGGCAGACAGATTGTGTGAGGGAGGAAGTCAATTTGCTAATGGCATTAGCACTTGGAAGGGAGGAGGGAATAACAGAATGGGGAGGCACAGGCAGCTTTTCAGTTGCTGTCAGCTACTGAAGCTTATCTAAATGGAATAACTGGATTGCCTTAACTGCTGGAACTTGAGTGGCTGCAAAGAGGAAAACAAACCCCTGTAAGCTTCTATGGCACCGAGATGGGGCTGTCTGGCTCCTCCATACCCTGCACATTGACCTCTGGGCTTGCTCCAGTGCTGATGCTATGCAGCTCCATGTGCACCCCCTGGTCAAGCTCAGTGTTTCTTGTAGGGGCTGCAGGAAGGTGAATGCATCCAGAATGGGCGGCCTGAGGGTGAGGTTCCCCATGACCCCAGTACTGCTGAGCCCAGTTTCTCATCTCCCCACTCGCCAGTGGAGAGCCTCAGGCCTGTGGCACTTAGGGTTGCTCTGGCTGATCTCCTGACATCCTTCCTGAAGGCACAAGGAAGCAGTAGATTTAAGGCCAGATAGAATGACCATGCTGAATGAATCCGACATCAC